AGAAAGTGGAAGGGTTAGTGACATTTAGCGGGACAAGCTGAAATGCCTGGGTAGCCTGCGGTGTTGCAGACTTAGCAATTTGTTGCTAGATTTGGCAACTCCTCAAGCCTTGTCCACATTAATAAGTTTCCGTTGAAAACGCATCTTTTCCTCTTGTTTTGGCCTTCCATCCACACTAAAACAAGGAGTCAAGGAAAACAGAGCATTAAAAACGCTTTCCAGAGCGGATAAATTTGAAAATGCTGTTTTCACGTTGTAGAAACGGAAGCTTTTGAAAACGATGAAGCATGTTTAGTCGTGTAACGCATTGTACCAATAGACATGTTTATACCAGTAACGTTAATTTTGCAGTTATGTGCTATTCACTTTCACACTGTTGCTAAAGATATTTACTTTGCACGCTCTTCATATTACAGTCCTAAAAAGATGACAGAAACTTTACTTTACTCACGATTGCTGTCCTGCGGCAAAACACGAGGGCAGTTGCGTTTTAGATCAATTCTGAGTGAGCGCGCCGTGGGCGCGTCAGTGGATGGTGAAATATTTCCGTAAATGAATTGATCCTGTCAGAAGAATTGCGTGAAACTTATTATGTCTGTTCCGTCTGTATCATCTCAGTGAGGTTTTATACATGCACAGTAAGGCTAATGTAACGCTTTCAGACATTTCAGTGTGGATGATAAACTTTGGGGAAAAAATGCCTTTTTTTTGTTTTTTTTATTGCTTAAAAAAATTGCATCAACATCCGTTTGTCATAACGTCGTTTAACAAACTTTAGACACGAAAACCTGCTTTTAGCGACTTCACCTGAAATTTAATTAATTTGCAACGCGGCCTGCGCCGCTAGCGGAGGCAGCCTCAAACTAGTGTCTGCTCTTAGAGCCGGAGGCCTGGCTGCGTACGGCGCTGCGGCCGGAAGAGCGGGAAGCGAGTGAGGCTTTGCTGCGGTGAGATCTGGGGCGCGTCCCAGGCTCGTTGAAGGCCTGCTGCTGCTGCGACCCAGCGCTCGAGGAGAGGAGAGCTTGTGCGGGACGATGGTGGTGTCGAGCGAGGCGAGCTCGGGGCTTTGCACGGTCTATTGGCTAGAGCGTGTGGCTGGTCGAGAAGAGCGGTGGCCGCGATGAAGCCTGGTGCTCGGCGGCCATGTCTGGCGGGGAAGGAGTGATCATGGGGCCGGCAAATTGCGGCGGATCTGAAAAAATCCCCAGTATAGATCTCTTCGTTGGACGGGAAATTGGTCTGTGATAAGATGGCAAAGGGAGCGAACCGAATGCTGAAAGACTAGAGATAATGAAGGTAAGGCTGCTTTGATTATTTGTAGAGGTTCTCTCTTGTGCTGATTGGATAGATGATGTAATTACTGATGATGGACTGGCCGTGTTAATTATCTGCGCGTGCTCCTCCCGAAATTTGTTAATAAAGCATCACTTAGTGTTTTGAATTGTTACTTAAGCCCCGTTCACACCGCCAGCGACACACAGCGACAGAGCGACATAATCCCATTCATTTTCAATGGAGAGCTGGCGACTTCCGGCGACACGAGCGACAGTGACCGTTGGCGACGGAATTTGGGCGTGTCAAGCGATGCGAGTCAAGCGACAAAAGTTCAGAATTCTTCAACTTTATGCAAATAAGCAGCGAATTTCGCGAGCGACAACCAATGGGAGTGAAGTCAGTGGAGAGCACGTAATTCATCTGCTGTAGTGGAGTGTTATGGGGGTAACTAGGCAACCAGTAGTGGGAACGCCCACAAGCGACAAGCAGCGAAAAAGTCGCTGGCGGTGTGAACGGGGCTTGAGGCCGCATGAGGAAACCCACATTAAAGTCAGTTGTAATGGCAAATCTTGTCAAAGGCAGGAAATTATTGTTTTTGTTTCCTTGCGGAGATCCTTTAGTAGGGTGTGAAGGAATCTTCCACTCCCTTAACTGAACTTTGAACCTGGAAAGATTTGATAGTCAGCACTATGACTATAAAAGACCATGGAAATTGAGCAGGTGAGGAGCTCATTTTAGTTTGTCTGTCTGTCAGTTTGTATCTAAATAAGATCTTGGGCTCGAGGTGTCTGGAAGACGTGTTACTGGTAATGTTTTGTCTTTAGTTTGTTTTCTATTCATTCAGTTTCTCATAACGTGGCACTGGGTTTGATTGCCTGTTTTGCTGAATCATCAGACAGGGCACCTACAGGAAAAGCATAGCCAGAAAAGTATTGTTTAATACAAAAAATTTTTTTTTTTTTACACAAACTACACAATTTTATTGAGTTCTTTAAGTTCATTTTCTGGAATTGTGCATTGTGTTTTGAAGATTTTATTTTTATTTATTTTTTGACAGTTTTATTTTTGTGATTTACGCTTTTTAACTGAGGACTGTAATTTCTGTATTTCTGTAATTTCATGTACTGGTTCAGACATGATTGGTATCGTTTTTACTAAGATAGGAGTGTCTTCTCAGCATGTGTGAAGATCATGTGCTCTAGATGCATCACGAAACCCACTGAAATAAACCTAGACATCTCTGTCTGTAATAGTACTTTAGTATTTATTTTTAAATGTATTTGTTTATTTATGTTTATATTCTAAGAAAACCAGGAGCTTTAAAAGGTTGGGAAATCTGACCTCAAATTAGTTATTAAGCGGGGAGTAACAAAAAGGAATTTCTTTGTCAGCATCTCATTCAGGAAGTTTGGAGCGGATGTAGCCTGTGGCATTCTCCATTCTGCACCGGAGCTGCCAGGAAACAAAGAGCGCTACTCCACATGCCTTTCTCTCAAACCCAACCCGTCTATGCAGTCTAGGCAGTGCTATGATAACGCTATGGTACTTTGATGTATTACATAGTACTGAATGATTACCATAGTATTAAAGGGTACTTCAAAGAATGTCATGTTATCAACCAAAAGCAACATAGTATCATTTCCCAAAAACCATGGTAGTTTTTTGGTTAAGTGAGATTTATGTAGACTAAAATAAAGCAAATGCAAAGTGTTCTGAGATTAGCATAGCAAATGCAGTTTAAGTGATTTAATTTTGTTGTTGTTGTTAATATTATTTTAATCTGAATAATGTATATTGTGCCACTAGGTTCACCAAATGGAATTGCATGAATAATTAATTGTTGTTTTTTTTTAAACACATTTTCCATTAAAGTTTTTCACACGAAATGATTGCATGATTTATTTATAATTAATTTATGAACCTGTTAATTCCTGTTAATTCTCTTTTTAAGTTTTAGATTTTGATTTCACCATACACTCACTACAGATCAATTTCAGACAACGTTAAATCATTTTAAGAGTCTGGAGTAAAACACCCCATATGTTGTTTATGCTGACATGTTTATTGGTCATTTATATGGAGAAATATGTTATTTAAAAATACACTTATACTTAAAATTTAATTCCACTTTAATTCTACTTCATTACATTCTAATTGCTACCTTAATTCTTAATTCTACCTATTCTTAATTCATTGCTGAATTGATCCCTAATGTAATAAAGGAATCTTTATTCTTGATCATAGTATTAAGTGTTATACCTCAGATCCTCTAATATCCATATGTTTTTTTAGAAGAAATCACAGTAGAAATAGCATCTTAGGTCTTATCACTCCTTCATTTCTCTTTCGTCTCTTCCCACCTTTTTCTGAATGTGTGAGGGAGGATCGGGTTTTGGTGAATTGACATGTGTTTGTAAACAGTGAAAGTAGGTGCTAGTTGGTGGTTTCACTAGAGTTTTACAAGATGTGAGTGTGAAGAATGTAAATGTCTAATGTAAACAACAAAGAATTCATGCATTCATGGTAAAATAAACAAAACTTACAGGTGCTGTTTGGTTTGTAGATGTTGAATTATCTTAGACATTTCCGTTTGAATTCAAACAGCCTCAAATTCTGATTTATTCATTGTATTACTGAAAAAAATATTGTTTTTATTGTCATATTTAAATGTATTTATTTCTGTATTTATTTGTCAAACAGATTTTGCTAAATCATTTATACCATACTATTTATACCATACTTTATATGTTTGCATATGACTTACAAGGGTACAATGTCTGTCAGGTTCCAAATAAACTGATAAAATAATTCAATATGATGAATTACCTTTCATTTGTGCAGTGTTTCATCCACTGGATTTTTCAAAAATAGGCAGTGTCATATTATTATTTAATTATATAAAGCATTTTAATTAGAATTTCCAGGAAAGATGTCATGATATATGTTGTGTCTGTGGTATAAAATTACTCCTACCATGATGTATGATTTGCCATACTACTATTATATGTGATAATATATTAGATATTTAATTATTTTTTCATTTTTTTTAATCAAGGAGGTGAAAAAAGATGAGCCAAAGTCCAAAGAGGAGTCAAAGGAGGCTAAAGAAAAGGAAGTGAAAGATGAGACTCCGATACAGCGGCGAGCATCAGGGAATGTGGCGAGCCTGGTACAGAGGATCAGTACCTATGGCATCCCAGCAGGAGGAATTGGCTTGCCACCCCAATCTCAACCCCGTGCCTTAAAAAAGAGTGCGTCTTTTTTCATTTCAAATTCTAACAGCTTTTATCTCTTCTTTAACGTTGTTTTGTTTAGAATAGCACACATAAAATGTCCCTACTACCTGACAGACCACACATCTGTCTCTGTGACAGCCCTAGACTCAATAACAGCAAAAAAAAAAAAAGTAGTCATGAAGGAGCCCACTTTTTTTAGCCACTGAGGAAAAAGTAGCCAATCAGAAACATGTTCTACCTGTAAATCATTTTGTGTGTTTGAGTTTGCTGACATCGAGTTGACTGACATGTATTTTGATGAAGGCCATGTGGTCAATAGATTGTGGTGGTCCAATTCAGTCTAGTGGAAATTAGCATCATGGGTAACATGGCTTACATCATCTTTTTTTGTTTGGTGTGGCATTGTGGATTTAAAAAAAAATAATAATAATTTAGCATTAGTTTAATGTCACAATAATTTATCACAGCAGGCTGAGATGATTTTTATATTTTACCATAGTACAGCATATGGTAAAATCTTTCACCATTTTGTGTTTTGGTCTTTGTTTTGATGGAATCAGAGTTCAGCACAAAAAGCAGATTTAGCAGATGACAGCTTTGGCCAGTAGTGGGCAGCAGTAGCTTTCTTATTGGCTCATAAAGCCTGTTTTCATTTCCTCTGTCTTGAGTCTTGAGTGTATGGCTGTCTCAGATTTTAGAGGAAGTCCACTTGATCCTCTCCAGCTGCATAGGAACATTGTCACAGAACACACAGCGATTGTGATGCCGTCCTACATTCAAGGTTTCTGCTGAACAAATCATCTAAAACAGTGATAACAGACAGTGGAATGTGTTGACTCTCTTCATCTGTGCTCCTGTGCAGGTTAATTGCATTGTACCCTTGAGGAAATAATGCATTTTTGTTTAGTTTCTGCTCAGTGCAGCTTTCATTTCAAGCTATTCTCCACAGAGATATTGTTCACCTGGCCTTTTGCTAAACTAAAGAGTTCTGTGGGGGTACCATGGTTCAGTAATAGAATTAGATGGCAATACTGTAGTATTTCAATATACCGCAGTGTTTCCCACAGACTTACACTCTATGTGTGTCGGCAATTTCCCTGGGGAAATATATATGTATATAATGTACATTTAAAACAGCAGACGGGCTTATTGAAAGTGCAAATTCATTCTCTGCCAGCAGGAGGCGCTTTTGGAGCGGCAGAAATAGCGGTTTCCCCAGTAACGGCTGTAAACATAGCAGGGCTGCACTCATGAATGCTACTTTATCAGGCATTATAGGAAAGATTGAATGAAAATGACATTAAAACTTTTCTGAAGACAATCGGTTCCCTTCAAAAAAGATATATTTATATAAAAACACCAAACAAAACATATGTTTCGGTCTTGAAACAGTGCTCATGTTTATTCAACGAAGTCAAAGCCTTTTGGAAAATATATTTGTGGCGGTCAGTGTTGATATTGTGGCGGGCCGCCACAAATAAATCAGTGTATTGGAAACCCTGTACCATGATCGGCACACTACCGTTCAAAAGTTTGGAGTCAGAAAGATTTTTTTTTAAGAAATGAATACTTTTATTCAGCAAGAATTATTAAATTGATCAAAAACATTAAATTGATAAGCATTAAATTAATCAAAATGGACAGTAAAGGCATTTATAATGTAAAAAAAAATATATGTATTTCAAATAATTGCTGTGTTTTTTTTTTTACTTGCTATTCATCAAAGAATCCTGAAAAAATGGTTCATGGTTTACAAAAAAATGAAGCAGCACAACAACATTGATAATAATGAGAAAAGTTACTTGAGCACCAAATCAGCATATGAGAATGATTTCTGAAGGATCATGTGACATTGAAGACTGAAGTAATGGCTTCTGAAAATTTAGCTTTGCCATCACAGGAGTAAATAACTTTAAAATGTTTTTTAAAAAATGTTCTAAAATAACGTTTCACAGTATTACTGTTTTTAATGTATTTTTGATCAAATAATGCAGCCTTGATGAGCATGAGACAAAATAATTGATACATTAAAAAATGTTTCAAAAAATATTTTACATATTTTTATCATAATTATTTGATGAATATAAAGTTCAAAAGTACAGCATTTATATGAAATCGAAATCTTTTTTAACATTTGAAATGTTTACTGTCACTTTTAATCAATTTAATTCATTATTGCTGAATAAAACTATTAATTTCTTTAAAAATAAAATCTTACTGATCCCAAACTTTTCAACGGAAGTGTAATTGGTAAATAATTGCACATTTCTCACAATCCACAAGCAGTAGAAGATTTACTAGTGGAGAAGATTTCTCGGCTGAGTTTTTGAGTGACAGGAAACATGTCTTAATTTGGCACATAATATGGAGCAAACATAGCAAACTTTTCTCTTTAAAGGGCATATGAATCATCTCAAGGACAGGGTGTGGTGTTTGTGTGTGAGAGTGTATGTGTGCATACAAGTTTAATAAAGACTCTTCCTGATTGTGTTAGTCTTTACTCGTTGAGCACTCTTCAGGTAGCTGGAGGAATTGTTCCCCTTGCATACTGGCATTATTGGCTAAGCGTGTCAGGCCAGTTCCAGAGTGACTTGTTGTGTTTTCATTACAGAGCTCAAGAAGCGTCAGTGCAAAGTCCTTTTTGAATATGTTCCTCAGAATGAAGACGAGCTGGAACTGAAGGTTGGAGATATCATTTACATCACTGAAGAGGTCAGCTGCTTCTCGCTTTTGTATTTAATGTAACTGAAAGTTTTGAAATTGTGCTGAATATATTAGTTCTCTATTTATAGAAATCCATGCACAGCAAACGTTCTTTAATAGGGTTTGTGCATGCTGCAGTGTGATATATGATGGTAAAGTAGTGAGATGTTCCTTCATTTTCATTTCTCGCAAAATGAGCAGTCTCTTGTAATTTTTAGTTTGTGACTTCATCAATAACATTCATCAATAATAAGATCTGTGGCTCTCCAATGGCAGTTTTTGGCCCAAAATGTCACAAGTCTGTTTTGAAAGGGTTGCAGACAGGAAGGAAAATAACAATATAAAATGCAAATTAAACAATTAAAGTAACCGTATCATTGTGACTAGTTAGTAAACAAATAAAATAAATAGGCATACATAGGCTAAATGCTTCACTTGCTTCACTAAATGCTTTGTGGGTTGTGTATGTCAAAGACAGTGTGTCTGATCAAACTCTGTGGTATTGTGGTGCAGATTTGTCTAGCTTAGTAGATGCTTACCAGATAAATGGACAAATACCAAACATCTCCCTCCTCTTTAAAAACAAAATGAATGAAATATGCAAGACTACTTTATGCCAGACTACATTTAATATGGGTTCGTTTATGGCAAGGATTTTTTGTTTTGTTTTGCTTTTGGCAATCAAAATTCAAGAGACATTAAAAAACATTAAATAATTTTATAAGCCTTTGCATTTTTGTAGGAAAGTGTTGTAGGGCAATTTATGCCTTAAACAATTTTGCTATTGTGTTGGTTTGTCACTTGGTGTCCAGTGTACAATCTGCGTCCTGAAGTGAAACCAGTTGAGACCCACTGTCTTTGAAAATGAGCGTTTGACTGGACAGTTCCTGTATTAGTGCTTACTGTAGGTGTTTTTTAGGTTGAGGAGGGCTGGTGGAGCGGAAGCATGAATGGGAAGTCTGGACTCTTTCCTTCCAACTTTGTCAAAGAAATGGAATCAACTGAAGACACAGAGACGAGCGATATAACAGACGAGCCAGGTACTGCTCAGCTTATCCTGTGATATATTCACAGAGAGGGCATGTCCTTACAAGAAAACAGTCAACAGACACCTCTGTTGTTTTTTTGTACGTTTAAGGGTGTGTGTGTGTGTGTGCGGTATTTTTGAGGTGTTAGACCTAGTCATGGCATCTGCAGTTGACAACTTCTGTTTATAATTTTTTTGTTTGTTTGTTTTTTGAGGCATTAGGCCAACTGAAGCAGTCTGAAGAGTTTGAATGAAATTCCATAAAGTGACCAAGTGTACTAAGTTTGGAGTCAGTAAGATTTAAAAAAAAAAAAAAAAAAGAAATAATAATAATACTTTTACTGAGAGGAAGAATGTTTATAATGTTATTCTCTTTCAAATAAATGCTGTTCTTTTGAACTTTCTATTCATCAGAGTATCCTGAAAAGATGTATCACAGTTTCCATGAAAATATTAAGCATCACAACTGGTTTCAACATTGCTAATTAAAAAAAAAAAAAGTTTTTTTCAAAAGCATCAAATCAACATACTTGGCTGCTGGTTATTTTAAATTGTAATAATATTTCACAATATTACTGTTGTACTTTATTTTTGATCAAATAAATGCAATCTTGATGGACATAAGAGACTTTCAAAAACATTCAAAAATATGGATGACTTTTATGATAACTTTTGTAGTGCTTTGGTGTTTATGGGAATTCATCCTTACATAAGATCAGTTATTTTAATAATGTTTACACAGTTTACTTTGCATATTACTTTTTTGTAATCAAAACTTTGTAAAGCTTGTCGTGGCGGTACTCTTACAGTGGTGTGTGTTCACAGATAGCAGAGATGGAGCGACTAGCCCCACGTCCCCTCACCAAGGCAACGGGGTCATGGCCCAACCGAAGAAGATTAAGGGCATCGGCTTTGGCAACATATTTAGAGAGGGATCTGTAAAACTCAGAACCTCTCAACGATTACCACCTGAAAATGAGGAAAAGAAAGAAAAAGTAAGTGTTGTTCTGCACCAGAATATGTCTTATTTGCCTTCCTCAAAGTCTTTTCTTCCTGTTTACTGCAGGACCAGTATCCATCCCAGTAATTGCAGCAAACACTTCAGATTAAACAGAAAACTTTTAATATTGTGATTGGTACATTCAAAATGAATACATTAAATGTGCCTGTGTGTGCCTGTAGTTATATGTGCAAGATATGCCAGTACTGATGAAGTAGGAACTCTACCCCAAACCAGTTTAGCACATAATGGTGCCTTATAAAATTATATAATTGTCTTGGCATGTATGAAAATCAGTGTTGCCCATTCCCATAGCCATGACCAGTGGAGCGTTGAAGGGTAATTATATGTCTAACTGCTCTACAAGTTTTGCCAGTGATTGCTCAAGACCTTACCGTATAGGCAGACAGTCTCATGGTGAGACCTTCCTTTTTAGGAAATATGTCTCTATTTTTGGACTTCGTTATTTAGTGGCTATTTTTGAAGCGTTTTGGTATGAACTACTTCTCTTATTATCATTTGTGCTCTGTACAGCTCAAACCGAGAGCAGAATATCCCTGTCTGTGCCTTTGTTACATCTGCAGACAGCTGGATATGGAGATAGAATTGTTGCATAATTCCAAATAAATAGATTATGACCCACAAATAAATGTAAAGAGATGGACAAAAATGAAACGTATTGACAAATAAATAGAATGAGATCCACAGATAAATCTTAGACTTTCACAAACATGAATTAAATTCGCAAATAATTAAAATTAGATTTTTGAAATAAAAAACGTATTCACAAATATCTTTTTATGTCACAAACACAACTTTGCCCGGCACTGTACCCACCGTCTGCTCAAGCCAATCAGATAACAGCCACACTTCGCTGACCAATCGTAGCACATTCTCGCTATAGCCGATCTGTATTGCTTTACAATCAGGGCGGTAGCAGATTAATTTTGCACCCCTGTAAGGATCTGCATTCTATGGACACTTAGTTCAAATCGATCTGAAGTGCTGTTTGTGTGGTTAAAAAATATAATATAATATGATATAATATGAAATATGGACCCAAATTTGTGAGTGGACGATGTAAATAAAAACTGTGCATTTACTTAACACTGATGCTGTTAAGTAACTTTTTCAATCAAAACTAGTAAATCTGATTCATATGAACTATTGTTTGCGTGATCAAGTGTTTTAACCAGTAAATATCTTGTTTTACATTTATATGCATTTATATTCAACACACCTGCACCACATTTAAAAAAAAAAAACACATATATGTTTTTCCTCCCCAAACACTGGCAATAACTTTGTAATACTTTTAATTAATGTTTGAAAATATTATTTATAATGCTTTATACATCGTTAGATCCACATAGCTGCTCATATAGGCCTACATCAATTAAACAGCTTGACTGAAAAACTGGGAAATACTGTTGTGTGACTACAATTTAACCTATTACACAAACTTGCATGTTTATCATGTGTTGAATCCAGTTATTTATTATTTATTGACTCTTTTTTTCCCCTATCTTGAATAACATGACGCTTCCATAACACATTTGTATACAGCGTAGTGTTGTTCCCATAGCCGTGATTTAAAGCAATGTTTATCCAGCATTTTCAAAGGCATGTCAAATATAATACTGTGGCTTGACTTGATACACAATCTAATGGTATAACGAAATCTAACTTTAAACATCTTTTACTGTACCAATTTTTATGGCCCTTATATTTCCTATTTGAGCCAATGCAGATGAATGAAGTTATTTCAGGATGAGATTGAAAAGCAAAACGTGATTGACTATAGAGAGAACATGCTACGATTGGTCAGCGCATTTGTGGTTTTGTCAGCGTCTTGATGCCTGAAATGTTTCAAAATCCACAAATGCACAGAAAGCCATTCACAAATGTACGGGGAGCGATCCACAAATGCATGCAGCGATCTACAAATGTACAGGACGCGATTCACAAATGAATGCCAGGCAAAGTTGTTTGTGACATAAAAAGATATTTGTGAATGTTTTTTATTTGCAAATCTCATTTTATTTATTTGTGAATTTAATTAATGTTTGTGAAAGCCTAAGATTTATTTGTGGATCTCATTCTACTTATTTGTCAATGTTTAATTTTTCTCTAAAAATGTTTCTCTAATATTATGATATTGGTCAGAAAAGTAATGTTTTGTTGAAAAAAAGATACAGAGTATTTCCAGTTAATGTTTAGTTAAATGATTCAAACAAATTATTATTTTTATTATTTATATTTTTTATCATTTAACCGTGTATGTATTTGTGCTTTGTTTATGCAATGTTTTCTTCATAATATCATGTTTTTGTTTTTGTTTTTTTCGCACCCATATATAAATGAATGAATATAAGCTGTCTTTATATTTGGGGTCCTTTGCATTATAAAGTTTGGAAACCCCTATAATAATTTTGTAGCACATGATTAGTGGGGCTGTAGCTTGATTAAAATCAACCCCATCCTACATTTCCCCCTGAATTTTCTGTTTCGCTTAGTAGTACACTACCTTTCAAAAATATGGGGTTGGTAAGATTTTTTAATGTTTTGAAAGAACTCCCTTACTCTCACCTAGGCTGCATTTATTTGATCAAAAATACAGTTAAAAACAGTACATTTGTGAAATATTATTGCAAATACATTTTTTTAATGTAATTTATTCCTGTGATGGCAAAGCTGAATTTTCAGCAATTATTACTCCAGTCTACAGTGTCACATGATCTTTCAGAAATCATTTTAATATGCTGATTTGGTGCTCAAGAAACATTTTTAGGATCAAAATTGAAAACAGTTGTGCTGTATTTTTGTGAAAAGTGTAAAATATTTTTTTTAGGATTCTTTGATGAATAGAAAGTTTAAAGAAAACAACATTATAACATTATTGTAACATTATAAATGTCTTTACTGCAAGTTTTGATTAATTTAATGCACCCTTGCTGAATAAAAGTATTAATTTCTTTTAAAAAAAAAACCTTACTGATTCCAAACTTTTAAAAGCTAGTGTACATTGTATTATAGTTGTTAAATGTGCCACAAAAAAGTCATTTGGCTCTATTTACAGCATTATTGCATTTAACCAATACTTCAGCTCTCCCTTTTTTGTCACATTTTGCATCCTCTTATGTCATTCAGATCAGTTGAATCATCCACTGCGTCTCATATCTAGAGCTCAGAGGTCATTTATAACATGCCATCTTGTGATGTGATGGTCAAAGGATTTACTAAATACTATAGGTTTCTTACTCTGTTTTGGATTTTAAAAAGTCTACATTCAGCATGCTCTCCCATTGACTCTTTACATATGTTATAGTGGTTATTGTTTACCCAGCATTCCTTTCATCCAGGCATGGTTGACCTGCCTCAGAGTCTGTACCTTTCAGTGTGCAAATGCATGTGTTTGTGTGGCTGCTGTGTCAGTAAATCCATTTGTGATTCTGCTTCATTTTAGCCAATCCCATCATTACCATCTGCCACAAAACCCACCCCTTTGAGCACTCCTGAACCCCCTAAAGGAGAAAAAGAGGCAGAGAGCAAAGGAAAAGGTGAGTTCATGGGAAGGTTGACATAAAGCTGTATGTGATAACCAAAGTAATGACAGGAGATTTATGGAAATGCACCACACATGAACAACTGCAGTGATTATGACTGACTGACATGAGTTTTCCTCCTCCTGGTTATTAGCTAAACCCAAATTATAGATTAGTATGGCTTTCTGTTAGTATTGAAAGTGCACTTACACCTTGTGCTTTACTAATAACACTCCACAACTTAAAGTTTTTAACAAAGTGTCTGTAGTAGCTGCATAAGCCAAATCAAGGTATTATTTGTAGCACCTTCTCATAGATATATCCTCGTTTTTTCTTGTCTCTCTACAGTAAAAGAATACTGTAAGGCCACATTCCACTATGAAGCAACTAACCAAGATGAGCTGGATTTAAAGGAGGGTGACATCATCCACGTACTGAGCAAGGTACGGAACAGGCTGAGCAAATGTCTACCCAACCACAGAGATCTCTAAATAAACAACACATATTCAGGAAGCATTTTTTAAGACAAAGCATCCACATCAGGAATATGAAGCACATCAATTATTATACAATAACTTACATTATGTAATACCTATAGAAAGAAGGAAAAAGCATAGCATAATCTCTTAATAGCCAAATGTCGCAGATTAATAAAAAAATTTCCCCGTTGTATTCACCTTTTGGAATTTTTTATTTTTATTTTTTGCTGTTCTCTTCTGAGTCCTGTGCAAATAGTCATAGTCAACACTGAATGTAAGTTGTACAAGAATAAGCATTAAAAGTTTATTCTTGTACAAGTAAATAATTTTTTATTAGATATATCATGTCATGACTCAGTGCATTGCATGACACAGTGCTTAATATGTGTCAGCTACTCTACATACTCTCTATATACTAATTGGTAAACAAAAAAGGAGTAAGACTTTAACTTTGTTTAGCCATCAGGGAGCAGTGTAAACCAGTTTTGGTAGTTACCTCTCTGGTTGGCAACAGTCTGCAAACTGCATTAATGAAGAGGAGGCAGGAAAGGCTCTGCCTTTTACAAAATCATTTGAACCAATCACTTTTACTCTCTTCATTTAGACCAGTTAGTCTATATCCTGCACCGTAGTTTAGTCTGGTGTGTGAAAGCACTCATTGACACAAGCTTATGGACTAGTTGGTCCACATTTTTGCAAATTATGCCAGAGAGGTAGAGTCAATAGTGCATATTAGAACTACATATTATACATTATAAATATGTAATTATGAAGAATATTGACATTTGATGCATGGATTAAATCACTCTTTTTAATGGTTTAAAGGGAAAAAATCACCCTAAGATGAAAATAGTCTTAATTTACAAAAACCTGTAAGACTTGTAATGCAATTGTTGTTAGTACAGAACTCTCAGATGGGGATTCTGATGCGAAACTTTTGTAGTGATCAGAAATAAAGACTTTTGACTTGTGTGTTTGATGCTATCTGCAGATACATTGACAATTTATGAAACTGTAGCTGTTGTATATCATACCAGTGACTTCTGTTCTGTTAGCAAACTAAGGATGTGTTTGTTTTAAGACACATGGATAGCATAGTCAGCTGATGTTTGTCAAAGGCCTTGAGCAGGAAGTAGATCAAAGTTAGAAATGACCACCATCTAGTGGCAAGGGACATGTCTGCATTTCCCATTCATAATAATGTGAATTTAAGCCTTTAAGGTGTATTGTATATTTTATGAAATGAGCCATTTATGTTCTGAGTGTTTAATGGTTTTGATATTTTAGGACACAGGAGAGCCAGGCTGGTGGAGAGGAGAGATCAACGGCAGAGAGGGAGTTTTCCCAGACAACTTTGTAGCTCTGCTTCCTGAGACAGACAAAGAGGTACATTTATATTCATTAATGCTGCTTTTGATGTCTACCTTGGGAGTGTGCATTTTTTTAAAAGGAAATTGAACTACTCAGTGCAGACGTGACTACTTTACTTTGGAAAGTTATTATTCTCAAAATTAATTCTCAGTTGTGACAAGTAAAAACGTACTAAGCAATAATCTTTAATCAAAAGTTCTTATTTTTTCCCTCTATACAGACACTCACATCCAAAGGCTCCGTTAAAGCGTCTCCTAAACAGGAACCAGAGGAGGTAGGCAATGCTTATCCTCTTGTTAGACAATTCATTATTGGAGTACACTTCATATTAAGATTTTTTAAGATAATTTTTTTAGTCTCCCAGCCCTGCTTCCCAATGAAAGGTATTCACTAAACATTTTAATCAAAGATGTTAAGGACCAAAATCAACAACACTCCAGACAATATGAAGTTAACATTTTATTTTTTGTGGTTCATTGTTGGGGATTTAAGCGTGAAAGAAGTGTTTAAATCAATAGTAGCCACTTATCATCACCATATGTTTTGCAACCATGGCTCCCATTCTAGCTTTGGGATATTCAAGTTTAGCCTGAGGGTGCATGTTTAACTACATTTTGGCAAACTCTGGAACAACAGGCCATTTTTATTGTGAAAATTAGGGGTGTTCCGATCAGGATTTTTGAGGCCGATCACAGAAAGCAGTATGTGCCGATACGATCACCGATACCGATCTTTTTAAAGCCTTATTTTTATCAGGTAGAATTATTTATAGTAAGACTCCAATCAGGAATTTTAGACATCTATTCAGGGCCTGAATTTCATTTTTGAAAATGAATTCCCCTCTTAGGTGACTCTTGTGAGAGGGGATTTTTTAGCGGTGCAGAAGCAGCTTTCACACAGAAGTCTGCAACTGATCCGTGGCTGTTTAATACAAACACAACATTTATCCATTATTTTGATTTCAACTCCAAACATTGTTACTTAAAATGCTTTTTCAGCATTGTGATTCTTCACACAGTTTTTCACACAGTGCAGTAGCTAATACAATCTTTCATAGATGTGTTTAAACGCAATAAATGTAAGAAACACATTATTCAATGCTTTTTACTTTTGCATTTACTTCTAGATTGATAAAATTAAGTTGCTCAAGCATGTGGCAAAACATTTAAACCACTTTTCTAACATTATCACAAACATTCTAAATTAAAACTTACCATTGACAGTAACAGTCAGCTCTACTGCCTTTTCTTTTGCATTTAATTCTTTATTACAAGCAATCCTGTGGTTCATAAACTGTTTTCCTACCTCCACGAGTGCCATCTATTATTGCCTTGTTTTTCTAAAAGTGCCTAAAAAAACCTAGCCAAAAAGCCATAGCCTATGTTGACTGTGAAACACAGTAGACTTTAATTATATGCATTTATGGTG